AGTATATACTATACTATATACTATACTATAGACTAGTTACAGAGGCCGCCCGCAGGGTGTTCGAAAACCTTAGGTAGGTATGGTGTGTAGTGTTGTGATATTTCGATTTAAACAAAGATGACTTTGTGGCAGTCAGTCATCCGGTGCGGTCGTCAGCTTGGCGTTGTGGACATGGAAGACGAAGAAAAACTGCTTTCCAGGCAGAATGACCGTAGAATGTAGAAGTTCAGAGTTGCTAACCTTTAGCTACCAAAACCGTCTAGGTGTGGGTAATGAAGAGAGATCAGTTCTAAATTCCACTCAACACAGTACATCCATCCGTATGTGGTTTCCCTCTCTAGATAAGACAATAGTAAAAATTTCCAGATCCAAGGTTGTAGACTGTCATGCGTGGAAAACGCAACTTGCAATATCATCGAGAACGACCAGATCGGAAATAAGCATATCTACAGCTATCGACTCCAGAACGTTTGGAATGCCATTGTGGATTATTTTACACCTTTTATCTGATAATGTGATTGCACTTTCGGAACTTCGGTTACCATTTTATCCGGTCGTCGTTCATGGGACTCCCAAGGTATCCACGTTGCCCTTCTTGACTAACTTGGGATTTATAAAAAGTTGGTGTCAGTATAGATGAGGCATCGACATCGCGCCTAAACACTTCCTCAGGCCGAGAAACTCAAACAGATATCATGCATCGCGAGATTCTTAGACCAGAATGGCCAGTACTTGCGTCCACAGAGAAGACATTCGTACAATGATGGGAGTGACAGAGCTACGTCGTGAGAACTGCAGAATTCAAAATATGCGTGTGTGGACGCCTCCGCAAGTAACTCTGTTTCACGACTTGGCGCACATTTGCAGTAGAAAGAAAAGGGTATAACAGTTCGTGCCCTTACCATTTAAAAAAATTTCAAATAGAGTAAGCTGATGGTATCGTTGCAAAATGTAAAAATGTAGATTACATGACTTGTCAACAAAGCGTTTTCAAGCATTTCACTGTCTGCTGACGTTTCCCTTATCAGTTTCAGTGGATGAAGCGTATGCAGGTAGTTAAGGAATATAGCTATACCTCGCTGTTTCGATAGCTCATGAGTAAATAAGAAAAAATCCAAAATAATGAAGATAGAAATTGGACTCATTATCTCTAAAGAGAGATGGTCTGGACGAAAGCTAAAACCAGCTTCGTTAGGATAAATGGGTTTTTCGATGAACAATCGTTCCTAAGCATTCATATTTTACCCCTGGTCATAACTT